TAAAAGTCCTTTTCCCTGAAATTCAAGTACATTTTAAAATAGTTTCACCTGGTCATTCTCTACACATAAGCTGATACTTTTTAAAAATTGATTCGACGAATTTAAAAATAACCCTGAGCTTAATTTTGAGAACGAATATATACGTCCTCCGGAGTCGAAGGGTTAAAGGGTGCCCCTTTAACGTGTCAGCAAATTTTCACGTGACACGCAGCGAATGATTTACTTGTTAAAATAAATTATTGAGCACTCGGTTGAGAAATAAGTTTCTCCACCCCCGATCCAACGAACACGAAAGTAAAAAATCGAGGACCGAGGCGTTTAACCGAATCGTTGGGAGAGCCAGACGGGAAAGTATGGTCGTTCGGCGTGGATCGTTGCATCACGGATACGATTGCAGCTGCAACGGCTCGCAACATGCACACGCGGATGGAGGCGGACGTGTAGCTATGCACCGCGACACTAATACACCTGCGGATTTAGCAGATACGAACGATTCGAGGGGACGATAATGATCTTTCGCACGTACCAGCTCGTCCGATCTGAGGTTTCTTATTCAATGGGGAGCCGCGATTATAGCCCAGTTCCTTTTGTGCTTCCCTTCCACGGCTCTAACGACATCGCGGCGGCCTCTCCGCACTTTTTGTGCCCCCGTTGGCACGGGCTGATGATCAGTGACACATTTAACCAAGGAGGAGGACGATTTTCTTTTTTACCATTCGAGATGAGTCGCGGGAAATGTTCATCGAGGAGAATTAGTTATCGTCGTCAAGCTGAGCGATGATTCACAAATTCTACCTAATTTTCTACCTTGTTTCACCTGGACGTAACTTCTACGACTTTCGCTGTATATTTGGTGTAGAAATTCATTCTGTCTCTTCGTAAAATAAATTTATCATTGATTTATAAAGATAAACTATCGTTGATTCGCAGAGTGTGCTTAATTTTCTAACTTCTTTATTTTCAACGTAACTTCTATCAAGTTTTTTTTTTTCGTGAATTCTCCATTTCCTAACTTCTTTATTTTCAACGTAATTTCTATGTTTTTCAATATATTTGGAGTAGTAATTAATTCTATGCCTAATCATTTATTTATAATGAATAACTATTGGTGATTCGCAGTGTTCAATTTCCTAATTTCTTTATTTTGAACGTAACTTCTATTAGGTTTTTCAATATACATATTTGGTGTAGAGATTCATTCTGTCCCTTCGTAAAATAAATTTATCATTGATTTATAAAGATAAACTATCGTTGATTCGCAGAGTGTGCTTAATTTTCTAACTTCTTTATTTTCAACGTAACTTCTATCAAGTTTTTTCTGTATATATGGAGTAGTAATTAGTTCTGTGCCTTATCATTTATTTATAATGAACTATTGGTGATTCACAGTGTTCTCGATTTCCTAACTTCTTTATTTTCAACGTAACTTCTATTAGGGTTTTCAATATATTTGGAGTAATAATTAATTCTGTGGCTTCGTAAAGTAAACTTGTCATTTATTTAGAAAGGAAAACTTTAATTCTCCTTCAGTCATGCATTTTAAAAACGCATATATAGATTGCCGACCAATTACTTAAGATCAAACGCTCGTTTCGGTAATAAAGTCGATAGACTCACATTGCAATAAATTAATTTCTCACGTATGAAAGTAATCATTAATACGTAGCCAGTATCGCATAAGAGTGTGATGGAGTTACGCTTATTTCATTTTTAACTCGCAAATAACAAACATTTTACTTTGACTACATTTTTAAAAAATAATGCAGCTTTGAGAGATCGATTGTTGTTAAATGTTTTCGTACGTATGCAAAAGTCAGCAAGGGACATATACAAAAAACCAAGAATAACACTGGAAGCGACATTTATTTTCA